AATGTACGCTAAAATATAGCTAAATATGGGTTGTAAGTTAGCTTAATGTGGGATAAAATAAAGCATCATGTAAGCTGTAAATTAAATTAATGTTGGCTAAAATAAAACTAAATATTGGTTTTAATTTAGCTTAATTTGGGCTCAAATAAAGCTAAATATTGGCTGTAAGGTAAATTGGTGTTGGCTAAAATAAAGCTAAATATTGGATGTAATTTAGCTTAATGTTGGCTAAAATAAAGCATAATGTCAGCTGTAAATTAAATTATTATGGTCTAAAATAAAGCTAAATATTGGCTGCAAGTTAAAGTAATGTGGGCTAAAATGAGGCTAAATAAAAAAAGTGAAAAAACAAAAGCTCGGGAGGTCAAAGGTCGGTTGAATTCAGTGTTTGTGTGCGTTGTCGGTGGTTTGTTTCCTGGGCAGATGCTGCTTGGCAGATCTGTAAAATCGGGCCTGTTCTCAGTCAGTTGTGGTCTCCCGGTCTGGTTCTAATGTACTTTTCAACGCATGCTACGGCCGCGGACAGGAGGAGGGTGTCGTGAGAAGGAGAGTGTGTTTCCAATCGTCTTCCTGAGGACCACGGTGGGTCTCGGGACATCTCAGAGCAAAGGGAGGACATCACTTTGGGACGGGGCTTTCTCTGTGTGAGGGTTCAGGCTCGGTTTCGGGGTTCAGGTTAGAATCGGGTTTCAGTTTTTTTTTTTTGGAGGGGGGTAAAGGGCCTGCAGATGTGTAGCGTGAAAACGAGTCCCCATAATGACACAATTACAAACATGTGTGTTTGTTTTAGGAGGTTTCTTCGCCGGGTTTCATTTGAAAGTGGAGCTTCACTGGTTTCCCTCACCGACAACAAACGAAAACACAACACGCCGCCCGCTGTGTTTTCTCCCTGTCACTGAACACTGGTTTACAGGGTTTATGGGGACCGGGCCCATTTATCCCATAGTGAGGACTCAATTGCTTTTCCGTGAAAAAGCCCTGTCAGATGTATTTTATTGCTTCTTTTTTAAAACAAACCTGTTTGTTGTTGGTTTGTGCGATGAAAGATACTTTAAACAGCCCCCAAAAGGAGAGTCTTTTAAGGGTCATTTTAGCTCATGAATGCAGCCAGACCAACCAAAACAAGCTGAAAGTTTCAAATAACATATTAAATCTGACAAGAAATTATGTGTTTATATCCTGATGATGTCATTTGTGATGTCAAAATATCCAATTTAGCTGGGTCAGTTCATGAGTATTGTGTTTGCCTTTCTTATATCTGGACATTTTTAAGCTACATCATTTAAAATGTGGGTAAAATGAAATAAGATTAACTCCTGCTATAGGTTTATGTTAGCAAGACAATGTGGACAGCTTGTGATCTTTGTTAAATCAAATTGTTTCTTTATATTAACTGAATAATCTCCAGTCTTTCTAAAAGAAAAGTTCAAAGGCAGTGATACTTAATAATTACAGACGTGATAGATACTGGTAACTTATTTAATCAGGTGTCTTTATCCCACATTTTATGGATGTTTCAGCAGAAATCTGGCAGGTTCTTGGATTTACCAGGTTTATTTTGGGTCCACAAACGTGGCATTCGCAGCCTTCTTGATTTTATCTTTGGTTGGTGGTTTCACTCTGACAGCTGAGGTTATTCTGACATAAAACAGAGTATGAGGCTATTTGGCAGGTTATTAAAAGCAGATATAGCAAAAATGGAGATTATAACGTGCTCTAAAGGGTTATTTCAGTATCATCTGAGGCTCTCAGTTCGTTAAATACTTCCCATGTTCATGAAATTGAAGCAGAGAGGTGGGAATGCTGAATAAATATAGATACTCTGACTTTAAATTTAATCAAAACCTGGACAACGGATGAGAATAATTTTGTATAATGCCATTTCTGGTCCTGTTTTAATAATATTTTTGGCATTTTCATGTGAAAATTGATTGTTCTAACTGTCAAAACCTGCCGGGTTGGTGTGCAGCCCTGAGATGGACTCAGACAGATGTCCCTGATTAGAGCTGAAGCCGGTGTGGAAATCTGTAATATCCGCATGCATGTGCAGCCGAGGAGTTCTCCAGAAAAGAAAAACAAAAAAGTTTCTTAGACTGTTTTATTGACGCTAACACTGTGGCCATGGTGGCAAATTTCCTCTTTATTAAATTCAATATAAAAGCTCCAGAGATAAAGTTAAACTTAAGACAATTATAATACAGTTAATTGTAAAGTTAAATGGGCGGATCATGGGAGGGAGGAGAGGTGCATCATGGGAGCCCAGAGGGAGGAGAGGTGCATCATGGGAGCCCAGAGGGGGGAGAGGTGCATCATGGGAGTCTAGGGGGGGGGAGAGGTGCATTATGGGAGCCCCAGCAGAGCTGTGTTGCGTTCAGGGTCCCCTTATCTTCTGTAACTTCCTCTTCTCCCTGCAGACGATGGCGTCCCGCTGCTTCGCCGCCAGCGGTTCCTGTTCAACGTGAGCGCGCTGGAGCCCGCCGGGCTGCTGGGGGCGGAGCTACGCGTGCTCAGGAAGCGCCCCCCCCCCCCCCCCCC